CAGGTCTGTGTGGAGATCAACAGTACTACTCAGCATGAAAAATAAGATCCGGATTTTCAACTCTGATTTGAAGTCAGTGCTACTTATTATACGGATCAGAGACTTGCAATGCGCGTCATGAAGGGCACATCATCAACAGCTGTCTTCGCTCAATACTACTCAAGATGAGATGTCCGGCCAGAAAAGATCATCAACAAGAAGGGATCTCTGGCAGTGAACGAACCAACTAAGCAGGAACCAATTGTGCAACAAATAAGCAGGAAGAAATGGAGGTGGATTGGACATACTCTGAAAACCATCAAGTGACGTCACACGCCAGGCCACCGCTCGAGTGGAACTCGAATAGGAAGTGGCGAGTTGGTCGTCAGTGTGAGGGTGACATGGAGGAGGCTGAAGCCCTATTCTCCTCTAGGAGCTAAAGGAAACAATAATAATAATGAAACACATTAAACATGATATTTGCCCCTGACTTAACTGAAAAATACTTCCTTATTAAAACAAAGGGGATCGGTTTTGGAGCTTCATAGGTATCATAACAGTTTTATCTATGCGAATAATGAAACACTCTCCTCCATTTCATTTATTTACAAGAATGAATAATAATAAAACACTCCAATCGTATCCCTAATACTCACCTTAAACCTTACTCTAATACTAATCCTAACCCTAACGGGCCACCAATCCAGAAGTTATATCTATTAAACAGTAAGCGTTCTGATCATAAGAAAATGAAAAAAGAAAATTTTACAAAATTAAGCAAGTGAAACAGCTTAATTGAAGATGAGGGCTATCACGAGGTGTTTTCGCACACAGCATTCCAAACGTCACAGAAGAAATCCTGGCTGAGTAAAAACAGCCCAACTGAACATTTCATATGATTACAGCATTTCTCTAGGTGTGTAATACAAGATCCACTACCCGAGGAAATTCAGCGTGTAATTGACCGCCTCCGCTCAACCTACACAAATATGCGTGGCGAATTTGATTCGCGATAGCATATGTCCTCACCCACCAGTTTGGCAAATATCTGACATTTTTTTCGATTACGTTTATAAGTCATTAGAGCGATGGGCTAATTTCCTGATTTCAAAGTTCCCAAGTTTTGATTTCCCAGGTGCATTCAGTAAATCTTTACTGACATAACAGTGATACGTGTCTTTTTATTAACTGCTTCTCTTTTATTTAATAAAAATTAATATTTGCACTTTGAGCACTGTTCTTTTTGCATTCCTTTGCGTTCCCAGTGGAACATAGGGGGCTCCCAGCCAGAGCTTTGAAGTTTCGGTAGCAGTGGTTTCCATTTTTACGGAGGGGGGATTGCTAGTCTCACGCCCAACCTTCTTTCTGGACCATGCGCCTATAACCAGCTAAGCGAGATTTGGGAGTCCGTCGGTCGGGGATTGAACTGTGGACTACCTGAGTAGCTGGCGAGCATTCTACCTCTGCGCCACTGACGCAACGTCTATATTCTTCAAATTGAATACTGAGTTATTTAACAACAAATGCCGAAATTTATTTGCATTCTGAAGAACTTCGTGAAAGGATCCTTATAGCATTCTGAATAACTTGCCTTCCTTGATTCGGTTTATTCAGAAATGAAACAAGCAGAATAATGCTATGCACAATGATGATTAGAGTATATGTTCTGAATAAATATATTTTTAATGTATTGAAAATATTCATTCAGACATCTATAAAACACAAATTAATTTGAGCAAAGAATATCCTTTTCGATAATTTCCTCTTCGGGATCTACAATTATATGTATATATATGTTTATACACACAGAATATTCTAGAATAGTAGTCAATAACAATATTAGTGTTTTTCAAACAATATCGATTTGTAAAGTATGATCAGTGGAATTATAGTTCATTAAAGATGCCTAAATTATAATAATAAGCATAAGAATGTAATAGCAAATAGAATATCAACTAAAATTAAAGAAATTTCTACAACAACGAATTGACGATCATACGAATCTAGATGGCCAAAGTAAGGATAATGTCTGAACTGACTTCTTTTGGACTCACAAATTAGGCTTCTTAACGTGGACCCCAACAGCCAGTCTCAGCAGTATGTAGTAAATGATCTTTTAAGGCGAAATTTCGATTTGTTGTTATGCCATAGATGACTCTGAAAGCCGCTTCGTTGACATCAATCTTGTGTTCTGTATCCACACTAATATTCTTATTGACAACTATTCTACAATATTCTATGTATATATACACAAATATATAATTGTAGAGCAAAAAGAAGAAATTATCGAAAAGGATATTCTTTGCTCAAATTATCTTGTTTTTTTATAAATCTTAAAACAAATAGTCGTTCTAAGTGCAGAAAAGCTGCATTGCAACAAGTGTAAAGTAATAATTCTCACTCTCCCTAAGGTGATCAACACTGCTCACCTACAATCGGTATGACTTACTAAATATAGTATCATCGTGGATTAAATGAGCAAGTATTTCATTGCATTTCACGATAATTATGACTCTCCATACTACTGATTAACTCAAATGAGTAGTTATATACCATTTGCATCAATCAGTAGCGCTTCAGTGGTTTAGAAACAAGCCTATCAGCAGTGTACCCAGTTTAACTCACCACAGTGAGATGAATCAGTTCAAAGCAGCCGATTTTTGACGGGTGCCAGTGGCAAAATTTCACTACAGTTTCTTTTGAAAACGGCGATTATTCAGAACACAATATGTGATCTCGAACCGTGTAAATGACAAATCGTGGATTTGATTTCATAAAAATAATTATTGTTCTTACTTTGTTAAAGAGTATTCCCCCTTGGAATCATTATACAGACTTCAGTCAGTTTAACCACAATCGTTTGCTAGCACTTTTCGATAGGCCATCTCATTATTGGAGGAAGTGTCTGACTATCAATATGACTGACTATGACTGATTGCGGTAGACTGGATAATGCGACAGACAGCGGGCAACGAGGAGATAGGGATAAAATGGACCCACACAAATAACTTGGAGGATCTGGTCGCGATTCCGCCGGTGATACATGTCTGATTTCCCATAAACTGGAAGATATGCAAGTGAAAAGCAACAAGTTGGCAGAAGAAGCATCAAAGATAGAACTTCAGGTGAACATAGAGGAAACAGAGGTGATGAAGATTCCTGGACAACAGCAACCGCAACAACAGACAACAACCAGCCAGCATAAATGGGAGAAATCTTAAAGAGGTAACCTCCTTCACCTACCTAATAACCTACCTGGGAAGCATTGTTTCAACTACAGGTGGACGGAACTGATGAGGATTTCAAAGCAGCGAGGATCGGGAAAGCAAGGCAAGCTTTCATTTCTCTCAAGTCTGTGTGGAGGTCAACAGCACTCGGCATGAAAATGAAAATAAGATCCGGATTTTCAAATCCAGTGTGAAGTCAGTGATACTTACTACATGGATTAGAGACTTGGCGCCACGCAAGGTCACGAAGGGCACTTCGAACAAACTACACATTTTCACCAACAGCTGTCTTAGCTCAATACCACTCAAGATCAGATGGCCGACCAGAAAAGAGCAGCAACAGGGATCTCTGGCGATGAGAGAACCAACACAGTAGGAGGCAACTGAGCAACAAATAAGCAGGAATAAATGGTGGTGTATTGGCCATACTCTGAGAAAACCATCAGAGACATCACACCCGAATGGTAAGTGGTGAGTTGGTCGTCAGTGTGAGGGGTGATATGGAGGAGGAGGTCATGTGAAAGGGAAATGAAAGCATATGGGCAGACGTGTAGCCTGGTGAAAACGTTGGCGGAGAACCGAAGGTAATGGAGATGTGCGGGTGAAGCCATATATCCCTCGAGGAACTATAGGAAACAATAATATAATAATAATAATAAGTTCTTATATCTGTTTCACAGGTGACTCACTACATTCAGTAAGTCACACTAAGGGATATCTTTTGCTGTTTTACAATAGTTTAGTGTTAAGATCTGTGAGTCATTTTCAAACACTTGATGAACTGAGGCTTTTCCCTAATTTTTAGCAAATGCACGCCTTACTAGTGAATATCAAAGAGGAAAACCAAAGGCTGTCGAACAACCACCGATTGTTATTATATATGACATGTCTATTCCCACTGTCTATAGGGTGAGTAATCCTCTTTTTTTGTAAAACAAACAAGTACGGAGTTTCGCCCCTTAAGAAAATACAGGGAGTACAAGATACACTTTGTACTGACCGCCAAATAAGTGAACGACAATCAACAACGTAAACCCATTTTATCTAGCATATACCTCTAGTTTATCTAATTGAACAATATTCATTTCTGATTAATGACACATGTTCTTTTAAAACATCATTACATGGTTTCAGTCGTTTTACTAAGTGGTAAAATAGCATTGATCGTAGACTACCTACCTACCATTTACCACTGAGGGGAAATTGACTAGAAATCCATTAACACAATATAATATCCATCACGTGGTTCCACAGACGGAATTACACACATGTTTTCCATGTTTTATATTTTTGTGCCCAAAAATATTTCCTATTGGTTAAGACTGATATTGTTGTATATATAGCACACAAAATGTGGGAAAAGATTTTGATTCCCGAAACAGGTGACCAATCAAAATGATTGTGCTAGGCTAATTCGATTTTTACACACTAAGGGTAGATAGAAAGCACACAACTGTTGTCTGCATATACACTTCTAATTACAAATTATTAATAATAATAGCAACATGTAGCGCACTTTCCTAAGTAGAAATCAATACTTTTGGAGAGAAAAATTGTGTCTACTGTCAATGCATTAGGTCGGAAGAGTTAACTAACCAGCCAATAAGAACAAAGTTAGTTTATAAAAGTGAAATGAAAAAATAAAGAAAGAATGAAAATTGTTCATTTGGAGATGGCGAGGGGGGTGGTGATGGTTCTGTCGACAACACTTGTACACCACCAATGATGCGTTTACATATAGAGATATATATGTGCATTGTGTGTGCAATTTTTAAAATAAATTTCCAATCGCTACAACTGTGCAAACTTGTCAAATAATTTAAGCCTTCGATTAACAAGTAGTAGAAACAATTGTTGTTCTCGCTCAAAACTTATTCACCAAAGAAGAAGACCTACAGAGATAGAGAGAGAAAGAAGAAGAAAAGAAAAAAGTAGTTACCACAACAGCTGCTGTGTAATCGTGAACAATCGGTACCCAAGTCAAAGCAACTGTTCAGCAAACATAATCACAGTGGATATACAGTGTTTTGTACAACAACTACAGAAAAAAAACTACCCCACGTGTGTACAGATAATCTACGAAGTCAACTGTTCTGTAACAACAGAAGAAAAAAAGTTAATTGAACTCATCAATAACAAGTTATCGTGTGTGTGTCAGTGTGTTTGTGTACTTGTCAAATTGTGTCCATCAGATCCAAAGATCCATTTAACGCCCCACAAGGTCATCTACACTATTGAGAAGATCAACAACTGTTCAACAAGAAAGACAAGACAAGAGGCTTGTCCAAGAATACAGGACTTTTTCTGTTGTTGTTTTGTTGAACCGGTGAATTATCCAGCAGAGATTGAATCATTTGTCTTAATTCCTCCGACAGTTAACGCCACGCTGATACAATTTCAAGCGTATTTAGTAAGGCAAAAGAAAAGAAATTTGATTTAGCAACTGACTCGAGTTGACCAACTGTTGTCATCTAAACGGGAGAGAGAGAGAGAGAAAGAGAAAAAAGTAGTCCAAGAAGAAGAAGAAGAAATTGCATTTCCTTTTCCCTACTGTTTCTTGTCTTAACAAGCAAAAATACCCATTTGCCTGTGTAACACAGTGGAAATACAACAAAAAAAACAAAGGTCATAGATTATACTGGGCTATATTCATATTGTCTTGTAACAATTGACAAAGAAGACAATTGTTCTTCTACCTGATCTCTACACTCTCTACAATCTAACTGGCATCTGACAAGGGAAACTATAATACAACACAGTCAACAGTTGTTCCTCAATATTCATTCGAAAAGTCACGTGAATTCAATATGATTGGGGAATATGAACAATTGCATCATACGTTCACACACATTCATAATAATAATAATAATGGTAGTAATGCATCAAATGAGACATCTTCAGAATCCTGTCAGCTATTGAACTATCCTACACAGTTGATCAATACGACGACAACAGCAGCAGGAGCGGCGACGGCAGCAGCAGCGACAACAATAACGGCAACAACAAAACATTTGACACATTTCACCTTACCAACTAGTCATCAAATTCCGTCGATAAATGATTCTACTTTCAGTGGAGAAAATCACTCTGAATATAATAATAATAATAATTACAAAGTACTGTCTTCACCATATTGTAACTTGTCGAATCAGTATGCCTCAGATTTGGAGTATGCAGGAGGTCAACAACAGTATCCTCTTGTCACACTGAACAATAATAACAGTATTAATAATTCCTTTCGATGCGGCAATTCATTTATTCCTTTAATCAATTCCTCGCATTACTTGTCTTCATCAATAACATCACCATCGCCATCATCATCATCAGCATCACTGACCAAAACACCAGTGACTACTGCATCACCACCAATGACAGGCGCAGAAACACATCAATTCCTTACAAATGATGTTGATCAGATCAGTCTTCCTATAAGTTCACAATTCATTCAGACATCTGATGACTTCAATACTTTATTACCAAATGATTCTGAATTGTTGAAATCATCTGTATTACGTCATTTAGACCAGTATTCACATTTTGTTAATCAATCCCCGTTTCAAACACTTGTACATCATTTAGTTGCAAATAATAATAATAACAATAATACTAGTAAGGATAATTCTTCGTCGATTATAGATATTCCAGCTGATTTTCACAATAATAATAATAATAGTAATCACGATTTTTCAAATTCTACCTATCATGATCAATGTGTTGTAGAGAGAGAATTTGAGAAAGTCAGCACCGCGAATAATGATAGCTATCTACACCATCATAAACATCAACTACAACGACAACAGTCTGTACCTTCCATGGAGTATAATGCATATTTAAGAAATCCTCAAGAGGTTACAGCATATGATGCTTTGAAGTCTGCCTATCTGCCTGAAGACTATATTCCAGTTGATCGAATCAGTTATAGGAGTGATAATAACAAGACAATGTCACTTATTCCACAAACACCACCAGTAACAGCGACAACTGCTGAATTCATGGTTTCAGCTAACTGGACACCAGAAAAGGCTAATGTCTACTCGAATGAAACACTGTCTCCCACCCAACAACAACAACACCATCAGCAAAATCACCATCAACCCGATAAGTACTTAACCTCAGTAGGTCATTTCACTTCTACACCATTATCTGAGGCTAACTTCTGTCATCGTGATATGAATTACAATACAACACCTTATCGTTTGTTGAATTCAGAAGTCAAGCATAATCTATCGTGTATCCCTAAACCTTATGATAATAATAATGACCTTGTCTATTGTTTGCCGATTTCTACGGTGACATCAGCAAATACCACTACTGCTGCCTGTGGTGGTGTCGGCGGCGGAGGAGGTGGTGAAAATTCGCTTAACCTTTATAATTACACACAAGTTAGTTTCGACGGGCCGTCTTCAACCTCATCAGCTGCATCTAGATCATCTGGTTCCTTGGGAAATGTTTCTTCAAATCAATCGGAGAGTAATAATTCTGGAAAGGCTATTTCTCACCGTATTTTAGATGAATTTCAAGCTCATGCCAGTAGTACTGGTCATAATAATCACTTCAATTCAAATCAAAAGTCTGATATCATTATGAACACTCCGACATCATATATGGCTAATAGTAATAATAATAATAATAATGGTTTCCCTAAAGCATCACCTTCCCTGCATAACACGCCTAATATGTCCACAGAAAAGTCTGATAAATATACAAATCCCAACTCGAATAAGTCGTCTACAGAAGCAGAGAATGCGACAGGCGATAAAATCCCTGAACAAGATAGACAAAAACCAACAGTACCGATGTCAACCAGTCTGAATACAAATGTGTCATTAAAACGTACAAAATCAATGATGCAATCAGACTCAACAACATCAAAACTTTTACGACCTAGTGCACTACATCAACCACCATTGTCACCAAACTCTGCATCCTCATCACTATTACGTAAACGTGGTCGTCATTCACGTGTAAAGCAACCAATGATGAATTTAGAAAAGCGTCATCTAACGGATGGAAATCTCGGTGGTTTGCAAACCGCCCAGTCATCAATGAAGACAATACCGATGAAGGTGAATTCATGTGATGAATCGGACAGTACAAGTGACGACTCGGATTCAGACGATGAAACTGAAGAAACTAAGGTAAGTAGACCTTATACTTTATTATATGTCTGAACATGTGTTTTTCTTTCTCGGATATTCTGTAATTTGAAACATTTCATGTGTTGTGGAAAATTGAGTGAAAGTGATGTTATGCAATAGCCAAAGAAAAGATGAAATTTTTATGCCTTGCGACTGAATTTCTCGAAGTCACTAACTCCTCTAACTTCTCTCCTACTTTAGGAATCTCAGAGTTTCCACTTTAGTCATTTTTACTGCAAAGCTTTACCCACTGAGCAAATAGACTAGATTATCCTAGGCATAAATTATTGTTGAATATCGAACCCATTTTCAGCTAATCGTATGTTGTTCCTTCCTTGATCATAAGACGATCACCGGTCTTATCATCAGTTATAATTTTCTTAAGAAGCTAATGAAACTGTGTCAAGCAGTTAAATCCAATATGCGAATTTCGTCCTATTCTGGACTCATCAACTACTAGAAGTATCTACATTCCCCAGTAAGTCATTGATGGAAGGTTTCACACTGAAGCTCGGACCTAGTACCCATCATTTCAAACACTAAGTCATCATCCACTCGACTGCTTGGGCCACGAGAGTCACCACCTATTGTGCAATTGGGGTCAGTTATGACTTGATTTCCCCACTGATTTATTGCATTGAAATGTTCAGCCTCTTCTGTTTATACATCAGTTCCATGCGAGGATGTTTTAATAGTATCTGAGAATTTGATGTTTGGTGACTAGCATTGGAATTCAAGGTGCGCATTTCGTCCCATTTTAGGACTCATCATCTGGATATGTCTCTTTTTTTATTTCTTAACGAAAAGCTAATAGATTTTCGGGTTCACCATCTATTAAATCTTGAATAGTTAAGTTTCATGTACAAAAATTTTTACATGTACGTGTACAAATTTCCACCGTAGATTTTCATTTTTTTTGTGTATGTGCGTTTTAAAGATATATAAGAGCATAGATAGACATTAAATTAGATGAATCTTATCCTGCTGTGTTACAAATTAATTAAGACATGTTCATCTATTCAGCATTCAACTTATCTCTCAAATCTTGCCTATTCTAAGTATTGTTTAAATCTGAAATCTGGAAACGCTACACTCTTTAACTCTGTCTGTTCTCCCTCCCTCCCATCTGTCCATCCACATTCTACATAAGATCCCAGTTAATCAAAGTTTAAGAATAGATCAGGTCAGTAAGTTTGATCATTCACTAATGTATAAATGTTGCAAGCATTGAAGCATAATCATAAAGAAAGAGAGAGAGAGAAAGAATAAACGAATACAATAATGCATATATATTATCCTACTTATCAGAAAGTTACAAAGCCGAATAAATTAGCTTCCTTTTCCTTTTTCATCTGTTACATCTATGCATGACTTAATATTTTTAATGATAAGTGACGTTTTAGGAAGCATATGTATATGAATGACTAGTGTAAGTGGGGGAATAACAACCTGTCAGTTAATAACTTTATCACGATTACATAACCATTCCGAAACTACAACTTATCGGATCAGTAGGCCTAAATATTTAAGATTTTCTGCTTCATCAAATTACCTTTTTCTGATTAAAAGTTGTTTCTTAAATTATAAATCAGCATGTATGTACAGAAAGAACTGTGTTGACTATATATGCACAGAATATGCTGCCTAGTAATGTGAATAGAGAGAAACCTGCACAAGGATTCATAAAACTTTTAATTCCGGGGGGTTTAGTTCAACTTCAGAGACAATAGTTGATCACTGTCAACATTTCTGTGGGTCAGGTAGAAACTGTGAAGGGAATGGGATCCAGACTGAGAAATAATTTAGCTTGAAGGCATATCTAACTTACGCCAATCAAGGTGAAACCCTATCATATAGTTTTTGTTAATGTGATGACGTGACTAAAGCGTCATAACTAAGGAGTAATCTAGGCAGTGCTCAGCAAAACTCCAGTTACATTGTGCCGCTTTCAAAGTATCCCACAAACAGTTTTCTTCTTTTAAAAAACATTTAAAAGACTGACTAATCAACAAAGGATATTTCTTTCGATGGCGCCTTCTTCATCACGTCTCACTTTTATTTACCCGAAGGACCTGGAGTTCCGGTGAGGTCCTAACAGTCAAGTGTGAGGATGAATGTCCCACCGATAGTATCGGTTGGGGTTCGCGCTAAATCACGAATTGGTAGAAGTTAGAATTCATTCTCTGGCCATTAAGAAGTCGGGTCCCAGTGGTGGCTTGCCTTGTAACCGGAAGGTCCTGGGTTCAAACCCTTCTGTGGTGGGTGAGTACTGCCGATGATTCCCAAAACAGGCTGATGAAACTGGTGTCCAGTACTCCCTGTGGCTGGTTTTCAATGGTTCTCTCTCAGTCCGTGATCAACTCGTTAAGACAAAACTAATCCTTATAAACCAACTATAGAAAATAATTATAGGAATATTTTTATTAACAACATTAATTTTGGTTTAAATTTTATTGGTACAATAGTATCGACAGGTGATTACTTGACAAAAGCGTCAGTAAGAGAGAGATATATCAGAAAATATTAAGCGAAGTAACACAGAATTTATGCATTTATAGGCCCGACAACAGGCCAGGCCAAGGTAGCGATGACGGCTGTCTGAACTTGCTTCTTTTGCACACATAGCTCCAATTGTTTTAGGTGAATTGCAATGGCTTCTACTGCTTGGAGAGTTCGATGTTTAGAGGCCTTTGGTAATTTCTTCAATGCTCGATAGATGATAGAGAAGGATTCTTTAGAGTGGCCTATTTGAACGAGGTGATGATTTATAGAAATGTTGACGCTTTCAACAACACGTTTATTTAACCACACTGCTTGGTGTTCCCGAGAGACCATGGGAAAACTGGGTTCCTAGAGCAATGGCTAATATGACTAACTCCACAGAAGCAGTTAAATTGATAAATACAATTACAGGTGGCCAACTACACTAGCACAGGTACTTCATCTTTCAGTTTTTCAAAATGACAACCGGCTGTTAGGAAAATGTAAGCTACAGCTTATCGGGATATCCCATCTTGTTAAGAGATACAGAAGAATTCTTTCCTCTGTCTTCTTAGCCATGCGTTTACTGATGAAGTAAGTATTCAGGGTAACTAAGCGTTTTTTCAATCAACATTTTGCATGCAAGACTCAAATCACTAGGCTGGAATTTCCATTCAATGTATAAAATATATACATTATTCAGAACAGTTGTTCATTTTACCTCACTGTCTTTTAGTTTGATATTCTTTAATTTACTTTTTAATGCTTATCATTACATTTTATTGTTATTATTATTATTATTACTACTATCATTATTACTTCTCATTTATTCTAGTTTTTTTATTATTAAAATGTCTCTTGGAGACTCCAATTTCTCGTTGTGCTTTTTTCTCCTCTTGAAGTTAATATATATATATATATATATATACAAGAAGATAAGTCGTCTGTAACATGTAAATGTTTCTGTCTTCTCCCTATATTCCATTCAACGAGGAAAATCGTATTTTCACCTTCGTGTCTGTATTCCCATCGTGTGTCTCCATCCTACTGGTCACAGTTAATTGAAAATAGGTGATAATGCCTATAAATATATATAATGTTGTAACAGCTGACGCTAAAACGTCATCGCTATGGGTTTAGAGATAGATCTACAAATATATCCATATATTTATAAGTAGTACTAGAAGAAGCAATCATAGGTGGACATTGTGTTTCTCTCTATCATAGAGACACCCACACAGTTGTAGATCTATTCGTCCACTTTGTATCCTCGATAATCGTCGTTATTCTCCACCCACTTGATAGTAAATCTACCTACCTACCTAACTAACTACCTACTTATTTCCTTACTTATCTATCACTATCCTTTTATTTCCCCAAACTTATGTATGTTACTAGCGTGTATCTATTTCATAGCCTGTCTTTCATAGTAACTATGATGTTCATTCAACAAATGTGACAATAGAACGAAACAGTGAAAAGTTTATTAACAGTTACAACAATAATTACATTCCTCGCAACCACCACCACCCCCGCGCCTCCCGGCTCCTTCTTCTCCTTCTCCTTTTATCTCTCTCTCTCTCTTAATTCTCCTACATCCTTCCTAAGACAGAGACGAGAGGGAGAAGGAGAGGGACAAAAGGGAGAGAGAATGGTCCATTCATCACACACACTCTCTCTCTATTCTACAAGAATATTGTATTGTATACGTAAGCACACGAAAGCGCGCGCGCGCGCACACCAACAAACTAAAACTTTAGGTTACCATGCCTACCATAGATAATTGTTAGAGCGCCTGTTGTTTTTGCATTTTTCCTCTTCTTCTTCGGTTACATACTTTCGAAAAATGCAAAAACGAGAAAGAGAGCGAGGAGTTAATAGTAGTTTATTTTACTGACATAGTAATAGTAATTTCTCTTATTCATTTTATCAAAAACACTGGCATCAATAACACTACTTGAATTAGTCAATTCTTGACGACTATTATAAGGGGTATGATGATGATGACAATTTACGATGAATATGCTTGGAGGAATTCATCAAAATATCTTGTCATTTACTACAACAACAACTACTACTACACTCCAATCACCCTGAAAATATGTAATCCTATAAAAATCAATCGAATATTCCCCAAAATTCTTCACATAAACCTAACATTCCTCTACGGCCCATAATGTCAGCGTGCAGATCTCCATCCATACAAACTTGCACACAAGGGCTAGTGGAAATATTAGAGCCAATTAGAAAAAGCTTCTGTAAGTTCTCATTGAAAGACACTTACACTTTTGAGTTAATTGATTGTCTTGATAACGTGGATATAAAGGACAAAAACATGTTTTCCCTAGATGTTGAATCTTTTTTTTTACAAATGTACCTATTTTGATAGACGGTTGACATTTTATGTGATTACATCTCTGACAACGATTTCCTATTACAAGTATCCATATCTTACTTAAAAGAGTTACTGCTTTTTTTGTACTAAGAATGTTAAGTTTACATTTGAGGGTGAGCATTATCACCAGATCGATGGTGTTGCTATGGGAAGCCCCCTAGTTCCATTGTTAGCTGGTATACATATATATATATATATATATATATATGTCGCATGTTGAGAACCTAGTGGAGGAAGAAATTGGGAAATTTTATTTTTATAAAAGATATTTAGATGACATAATAGTCATTTGTGATAAACCGACAGACGCCATAGAAATCCTGAACCGGATCAACAGAGCACAAAACAGTATATCACTAACATACGTTAAAAAGAGAATAATGGATGCCTGACATTTTTAGATGTACTAATAACCCGCCGAGAAGATGGATCAGTAAAACGATTTGTCTACAGAAAGTCCACATGGACGGCACAGTGCCTAAATTATCATAGTTTCTGTCCACTACAGTATAAAAAGGCGTTGGTTAAATGTTTGTTCAAGCGCATTCACTGTATATGTACTGCTGATACAATTGAAGAAGAAAGACGACACCTCACTGAAATATTGTTAGATAACAATTACCCACTGAGATTTATTAGTCTTTACGGAAGTGTCAACCATAGAGCTTTACCAATCAAATCAGCACCCAAAAAAGATGTTTACATATCCTTACCGTTCAGAGGTGATCAACAAAGTCTAGTCAGTCACTAGACAAAGACTCAAGGCCGCAATTAATAGAACCTATTATGCAGCTAAACTTATCTTCATAGGGAAAATGAGAACTATGCTGTCTTGTAAACCCTTACATCATCCGAACGATAGTGTCACATCCCACTGTGTTTATCAATTTACATGTATGCGTGGAGACATGTACATAGGGAGGACGCGTCGGTCTCTGCAGGTTAGGGCTACAGAAAACATTCCAAAGTGGCTGCAGCAACAAATGAAATCACCAGACACAATTGAACCCGGAAATAGATGTCCAACATCATCTATAGCCAAGCATATTATAGACACGGGTCATAAGGTTGATTTCAACAATGCCTTTAAGCGGATATGCAAAACAAGGTTGGGCCACATATTTAAATTCATTGAAGCCTTAAACCTGTCTTATGTGTCCAAAAGTTATTTGTTATCACCTTAAACCTGCCTTGGTAATCCAATTTAGAACCAAGGACCAATTTACTTCATAATATATTTTCAACCCCTTCTTTGCCTTGTTTTTTCTCATTTTATCTTTCTTACCCACACCTTTTGCGTCTCCCTAACCATTATTTGTGACATTGACGTGTATACAATCTGACCTGTATTGTAATTATTCATGCCTTCTTGCATTCTATAAAAACTGTGTATGAGAAGTACTCGTGTGTGTGATCAGAATGTCAGAAATGTGTTGCGCAAATATGCATATTACACGTTTAAGGTAAACTACGTCTTCTTATTGTGTTGTCGAAATTCATACAGGGGAACTAATTGCTTTAAATCACATTATTCTGTTGGTGTTCCTGTCTTCATAATTTCTCTTCTATTCAATTTCTAGGAAGAGCATGTTATTGCACCAGGTTCACATGGCCAATGTTTATTATGGGCGTGTAAAGCATGCAAAAAGAAGACAATGCAAGTGGATCGTAGAAAAGCGGCTACAATGCGTGAAAGACGTCGTCTGCGTAAAGTGAATGAAGCCTTTGAAACGCTGAAACGTAGAACCTGCGCTAATCCAAATCAACGTATGCCAAAAGTAGAAATATTAAGAAATGCAATAGATTATATTGAAAATTTAGAAGATATGCTACAACAAAATGGTGTTATCCCGATGGGTATGACACCGTTAACAACAGCGCTGAATGCAATCACTGCTACTACACAGAATGATACTAACACAAATGTATGCAACTCGTCGATAACTACTTCAGGAAACAATGCAAATGTTTACTACTCAAATGCATCTACAAAATCTAAATCTACAATCAGCAATAAATATGTAAAAGAGGGAGGCAGTGATCTACCCGCCTCAATGACAAATCAATCACATGCATCTAATACTTGTGGTCTGTCTTACTCGTGTTCTCAAGATAATAATTCTAAATTGTCAAATTTAAGGTGTGATTTCAATTTAGAAAGTGGTAATAAACATGATTCTACTGACTCGCTGACAGATATATCGCTTGGCAGTTTACCAACAGAATGTAGACCTGATGAACAATTGAATTCAATGAATAGTTCTACATGTTCACTAATACCAACATCCAAGGTGAGTGTCTGTGTGATGAAGACGCTTTATCGATTTCATATATATATCACAATATTATTATTATTTTTCCCTTGGGTTCCTCGTGGGACACAGCGTTTCAAGAGAACACCTTCACCTCGTCCTGACCTTTGTGGTCCTCTTTAGCCTTCCCCATATTTGTCTGTAGTTTCTCATCTCCTCCATGTTACCCTGTCAATCTACGTACAACAACAGTCGTTTCCCATTTGGGCCTGGCCCATGATATCCTCCAATAGCCTCCTCAGTGGCCGATCTATCTTCATTTCCTTTGGAATATTAACTGAGCAATAGGTTTTTGATACGGGTTCGAATCTCAGCAGGGACATTAGTTCCTCAAAGACTGCAGATACACCTTGCAGACTAGTGATTGCCAGCAAGCACGAAACTGAAGTCCAATGCTTTCTGCAGATTACCTCCAACTGTCAAGTAAGAACATTTATCTCTAAGTTTTAGTTTATAACCTCACCACTTGAGGTATATTTGATTCAATGTGGAAACGGTTAACCTCTCAGCTAACACTTATAATGCACATCATTCACCTTTAAGTAACCTTTAAGTAATAATCCCTATTCTATTAAATCACGTGATTTTGGAATAATAATAATGATATGAATTTAACTTTCTCCTTCTTAGCTTTATTAAGCATTACCGTTCTTCAAGGGGATATAATACAAACAGGATAATATCTGTCGTTTAAACTTGGGAAATATTTATTGATTATTCTTAGGTCATTCAATGTTGTCATCGATTAGCTAAGTAATTTAAATTTTCTTTAGTCACAGTCATAATGATAATAAGAATAATAATAAGAAGAAGCATATTTCTCTAACACTCACGAAATGTACTTTTAGGTAAGCAGAAATGACAATAACCTAATTTTACTTTCCCCTAACTTTGATGACTTAATCCTTTTTTTGTGTGTGTGGCTTTTTGTGTAGTGTCTTTAGAAATGTCTAACAGAATACACTTATTTACCTTCAAAAGTTGACAATACCACTTCAGCATGTACAAATAATAAATATCACTTATTTTGTTTGTCTCTCGTATATATTTTTGTTATTTTGTTATCTGAAATCTTCTTCCATTTTCAAAGCTTCTTGTTTTGTGTGCTTGTGTGTGTGTTTGTGGTGTAGTTTACATCTCTAACAAGTGATGATAAATGATGTACTTTTTTGTTTTAATGAAGCAAAAGATATTTCGTTTTCGCGCGCGCGCGCACATTTCAAAATAACACTCGGTCATTTTATCAACAGACAAGATAACCAGAAAGGATATTATCATTATTATTAGTATTCGATGTGATGAAAAGAAAAGAAATGGAATAACATTAAGATTAGGGATAAAAAATAAAGTTAAATATTTATTTCCCCTTCAGAAGAAACTACCACAACCAGTAGTAATAACGACATTAGTACATGAAAGACAAAAACAAGTAAATCATTATTTGACTGTATGGAAATTAACTTTGGTCCTTGATTCCTTGGCTGTTATTATTGTTGTTTTTGTTGTTGTTGGTTTTGCCGTCTCATTTAACGACTGAAATACACAATGTGAATAAAGATAAAAATCCACAGATATAGAGAGAGGAAGAAAAACAAAATGAAGTTGTAAATTGTCGGTATTATTTATCATTTGTGTTTTTAACTTTTTTTTGGTTAATTTGTTATCCCAGTGTCAAAGATATGTTAAAAAAATATTGTAGAAGAAAAGATGGAAAGATCTATTCTTCTAGATATCTTGTGAATAGTCGTAGTAGATGTTCTTGTTGTCTATTCACGTATTTACTTGATTTACATACACTGTGAATAATCATCAAGTGGACAAATAAGACTATTCGAAGTAAGTAAGATGATACGATATAATTACATATCAACAACTTGATAAACTAACTGCCAAGTGAACATTATTCATTCATTGTGGGAGGGGGAGGAGGAGGGCGACAAAGATGTATACGAAGAAACACAGAATGTGTGTGTGTTAGCCTATTCTAGAATACAACAAAAGGGGATAAATCAGTTCTCCTATGCATATAGACAGATGATGATGATCCACGTGGAGAAGTTGCAGGTGGCCTACATATATATACCTGTACATATTTTATCTACAGATATGGTTTTAGATGTTACAAGTAGATTTAATTAAAATAAAAAGGGGGCAATAAATAACGAAATAAGTGGTAGTAATAATAATAATAAGTGATCCATAGATTCTGGTTTTTCAATCTTAAGAATAAATTTTATATTGATATATGCAAAATAGACAGAAATAGAGAGAGATGGAAAACAAATTTCATCAAGATAACAGAATTGATAGAAGGCTACTGCGCATATATATAAATCACATCTAATTTGTAAGTTATACGACGACATCGATAATGATAGTGATGAGGATGATGATAAGAGCTATTTTCTTTAGTCTGTGATATTCATCAAAAAGAACATCCTGTCCTGACGTATATATAGATATATTGTATGCTTGTGGTTTCAAGGATCTGGTCAATTCATTTCCCTGTTGTGTAAACTTGATACTTACATTTGCAAATCTTTATTATTTTTTTCTCTTGCCTCTAGTTGGATCTTTGAAATCAATATTTGATAAATACTAAAACAGATGCCCCTAAAATTTTTACACATCCATAATGCAGAATTTAGTATATATTTAGATATTGAAATCTGATACAATCATTAGCAGTATAATTCGGTGTGCTTTTATGCTGAGAAACTTCACCATTTCATTGATACATCTGTCAAAAATGAGGGAGATATCAAGCAGGTTAATGTAAAACCCATAAGTTGGTTATAGAATTACACTAGTGGATTAAACATAGATATATATTCCCACAGTTTATATTACTTACTGAGGTTGGTGTTCCTCAAGGCGCTGTCCTTTCTCCTTTTCTGTTTTCTTTCTTCTTGTATGACTTGCCTCACTCTGATGGTGAAATGAACTTTGTTAAGTATGCGGGCGGTTGAACTATTTCAATGTCTGTTAACTCCTAGCTAGACTGTAATAAGCTGATCAGAAGTCAGCAAATGGTCTTCGTCTAACTGCCTTAAACTAAGTCCTTCCAAATGTCAGACTGTTAATTCCAGTCTCCGATGTAAATGAAAGTTAAATGAAGCTGTTGGTTCTCATGATCGTTGCAAAATTGATGATACTGATATAGAAAGCAAGTCTGACGTTAAGTATCTTGGATTAATTCTTTCTTCTGATCTATCCTGGTCTTCCCATTTCTTAGCGATTTCTAAAAGAATATTTCGTCTGACTTTTTGAATTAAGAAGTTAGGGCACTCAGGCATAACTCAACTCCTCCTCCTCTTACAGCTTGTCAACTCGTGCATCTTACCTATTCTTCTTAACTGTTCACCCTTATTCCTTCCTGGATTGCTTAAAAAAGACTGTGTCATACTTTGTAGAACTCTGAAGACTGTCAGTCAATAGGGCGAATGGTATCCCGTTGAGCCATATCGTTGACATTTTCACTAATAAGCACTTGATTTCATGCAACAAATTTACTAAAGGAATCTTGTCAGACTGTGAGCATCCACCACAGCACCCGCAGCTCCAACCTTGTGTCTCCTCAGGTAAAACAAGAAGTCTTTTCAGAAGACTTTATGCACGTACGTCTAGGTATAAAAATTCCACTATACCATATTTGGCACGTATTTTATGTGATGAAAATAGTGTCAGGCATGAACTACCTAACCTTCTTCCCACTAGTAAATGTAAACATCATTTAAGCTGTGTTATAACTGTTAATTCTGCCTTTCCCTTCTCTACACTATATCAAAAGAACATTAGATTCAATAGTCTATAACATGATAAAATTTTCAAACTAAATGGCCAATACTGTTTGAAGCAAACTCACTGTTATTATTATTACCATTATATTTATTATTCTCATTTTGTACTTCGAATATTTTTGACTTTCTATCGTAAATGTGGACAAATTCCTCTGGTTAATTTTGTTTTAACTTTTATCTTTATTTATATTTTGAGTAAATCAGATGCAATATTGTGACTAGTGCGGAGAATTCCATTCTGTATTATAAGTACTGTTTTTGGAATAAAATAGATTACTATTATTATTATTAAACCATATTTAAGAGTTCTTACTATTCAGTAATATTCACATGTCTAAAAGTCTTGCATGATAAACATTGATTTACCCGTTGGTTTCAACGGGAACTGTTATTCACTGAGGACTCGAAATAGCGTGACCACGATATATCGCGAAATGGGAGAAGATAGAATTCATGGGCTGTTGGATTCTTTCCCAGTAGCTTAATGGTATATGAGTTTGCTTTGTATTCCGAAATCCCTAGAATCCATTTATGCTGAAGAGTCCTAAACACAAGGATGAAATAACTGTCCAGTAGTTACTCTTGAGTGTTCAGTGGTTCTTCAATTGAAGCAAATTCGAGATCAAAATTGAAACTAGGCAAATCTGTGCAAACTAACGATTAATATTAGAATTGCGATTTTCCTGTTGATCGATTGGAGCAGCATGCTTGGCATTTGTTGATTTCCTGGCTCCTTGTGCAGATGCTTCAGCAATGTCTGAGAATTAACGTGAAATAATCTTAAGGACGGTGACTAATAATGCAATCCAGGGAAAACTATGATTGACTTGGGAATGCTGATACATCCAGATGACGAGTCTCAAATGGGACGAAATTCACATCCTGTATTCCACTGCTAGTCACCCGCAACCAAATTACTTCAAGTATCAGCATCAGATTTATTGATTAAGGAACATACTATGTCAGTGTAACTCGGTGTCATCACTAAATAAATAAATAAAGGGAAATTCTTTTCCATAGAATTCCATTGAAGATACACACGCATACACACAGTTGTCATATAGTTGTTTAACTCTGTGATGAGAGGAATATATTCTCAGTTAGACAATTTTTTTATGATAAGCTGAAAAGAATAACTTTTTCCAACTTGAAAAGTTATACCAACTGTTAAATTGTTCTTTTCTAAAGAAAATATTTAATGTAAAATAATAAATTATTTGGTTAGCATAGCAACAACTATCATTCCAATAAACAGTATTATAAATTATTTGTCGAAAAGAGCTTATTTTAAGCTCTAAAATATACACGTTCATACACAACTAGGATACAATTTAAGGGGAGTTAACAACTAGACAAGTTAGATGGAATTGTTAAAAAGGAAGGCATCCTGAACAACTGTTTAACTGTATTACTAAGCTGTCTACTACAAGTGAATGTGATTGTTTCAGCTTAGTGATTTCTGTCCTGTGAGTTGTCACTGTTTGTTTTTCAAGTAAATGAAACTCAAAGTGTGGAATAAAATATCTTATCCATCCAGTTACGTGTGAAGATGGATGTCCCACCGATGATATTGGTTGGTGGTTGTGCTGAATGCATCACAAATTGGTAGAAGTTAGAATTCATGTGCTGGCCATTGATGAGTCGGGTCCCAGTGGCTGAATGGTATACGAGCCAGCTTGCCTTGTAACCGGAAGGTCCTAGATTCGAACCCTTTTGTGGTGAGTGAATACTGCCGATAATCCCCAAACTGGGAGGAAACAGCTGTCCAGTACTCTGGTGCTGGTTTTCAGTGTCTCTCCAACTGATATCAATCCCTGATCAACTCTTTAAAACAAAACTAATCCTTGCAAACCAACTATAGAAAATATCTGATTATAATTTGAAATCACTCAAAGGGAAAAACTGGAAGACCTGGGAGTACTACAAGAGTGTTCCGTCCTGCCCTGGGACTCTACATCAGTAGTCACCCACTGGGGTTCGAACCCAGGACCTTCCAACCACCAGCTGGGTCAACCAAGTCAGCTATGAGACAACTTACTTACCATTAGATTGGCTCCTGGTAATTGAATGGTCTACGAGCTCACCTGGGTTTAAATCCAATTGGGCAGGGAATACTGATGAAGAGTCCCAAACTGGGACGAAACGGCTGTCCACTCTCTAATAATGTCGACCTATCTGTTCCGACGCACTTCCATATTTTGATTAGATGGAAGTTTTAAAGAGTAAACCATTCAGGTTTATGTGAATATTTTTCATGGCGCTGGTCAGTCACTGTAATACATTAAGAAAGGATCAAATTTAGATGACTAGGCTTTATCAGTGAACTACAGTGTTGGGGAAAATGATCTTCACTGCTTCTCATTGATTCGTCAGATTATATCAGCTAGTCTATAATTCGATCAAACAAATACGACTTCGTAAAAATTGAAACTGATTCCATTCCATTAATCCATGATTTCATTTTGTTTTTCTCTCTCTGTCTCTATCTCCATAGGATTCCACCAAATTAATCGATTACAATAGCTACTCACATATGTCTACATGGAATATGTGTACACCATATGAAGTGTTGGGTGGGCTAAAAACCGGTGATCCATCTCAGTCGAGTAAGTACCTTCTTTTTTTCTTCTTAAAATACTTATAAATTTAAGATACAATGTACAATTTCGGTGAAATTGTTTGTTTTTTATTTGGCTTAACAGAAGTAATCAGTAGTTTGTCCATGAAGTTCATCTTACATGATTCTTTGGATGAATAGTAGATTCATTCAAAATCATTAATTTCTGGTACATTAGATAAGGATAGTTAGGCTGATAGCGGACAGTTGAGGCAGTATTCAGTTATTTAAACGGAAAATAGGGCTTTTCTCAGCCATCGGCGTAAATACGACGCTGATTGAAGTCGTCATCAAACGCACAGATAGGGTCATTGTATTATCTGAGGTCGGAGGTGTAACTCTTTAGCTATCACCATAGACAACTCCTTTATATCCTTCAGATTACTGATTCAGTAACCCTTATTCGAGTATATCAACCAGATGTGCCGAAATCTGAACACAGATGCATTGGGAACTAGCAGTGTGCATATATATTAGCAGGAACTAAATAGGACAACAAATACTTGTAGTCAGCTTCTAAGAAGGCGACAGATATAGTCTTGAAATAATCAAAACAACGAGATATAAAGACGTTTGACCATGGAGTGATATCACTTAGACAACCATTCAAAACCAGCTATGGGTATTGGAGATCTGTTTCGTCTTAGTTTCAGACTCATCAGCAATAGGTGCCCACCGGGTTTCGAACCCAGGATCTTCAAGTTCCAAGGCAAGCTCATGGACCACTCAGCCATCAGGACAGAAGTCAGCGGCTATTCAGTACTCCCTAGTCTTCAATGGTTCTCTAACTGATATCAATCCATGGTCGAATTTCAAACTCACTAGTGACTTGCTACAGGATGTGGTTGCCTGAAGTTCTTTTGAAAAGTTGTGACCAAGGGGATCCATCCGGTCAGCGTTGAGGACAAATACTACCCACCGGTAACAATGGCTGGTGCCAGCTGCGATAAAATCACGAAATGGTAGAAGTAAGAATTCATGGGCTGGCCAATGAGTCAGGTCCCAGTGGCTGAATGGTCTACGAGGTCGTCTTGTAATCTGAAGGTGCTGGGTTCGAGCCCTGGCCGTTGGTGCATAGTGTCTATGAGTTCCAAAGTAGGCCGAAACAGTTGTCTAGTTCACCCTGGAGGTTTTCTATGGTTCTCTAACTTATATCGATAAGTGGTCAAACTTATAACTGATAATTTTAACCAACCAATCAACATCCCTCTTATTAACCTGAAAATAGTTTTTCTGGGTAACTAACATCAGCTGGAGAACCAATGGAAATTAGAGAGTCCTGGACATTTATTTCGCCCTATTTTAAAACTCTTCAACGGAACAGAACTAAATACACAAAAGCATCAATAGATTCCCTGTGCATCGGTGGCATAGCGGTTAGGACGCTCGCCAACCATGCACATGGTCCGGGGTTCGATCCCCGGCCGACGCACTCCTTTACCTCGCTAAACCAGAAATAAAAGCTGGTAAAGAGGAAAGGTTGGGCATGAGGCTAGTAACCCCATCCTGTAAAAATAAACACTGCTACAGAAACTTCAAGCCTCTAGCTTGAAGCCCCATGTTCCACTGGGAACGTGAAGGAATAAAAATAAATTTAAAAAAATCAATAGATTTCAACCAAACACCTGTATAATTACAAGATCGCTTCATTATTAAGGCATTTTTATTTATTACTCAAGTGTTGGTTTGTAGGGATTTGATTGGTTACAGGATTTTATCATGAGGTGACATTAGTTAGAGAACCATTGGAAAACCTGGGAGTACTGGACAGCTGTTTCGTGACTGTTCATCAGTACGCATCCACAGGGATTCGAACCCAGGACCTTCTGGTTACAAGGCGACCTCGTAATTGACTCGATCATTACTGACGTGGTAGGTATTATTCACTTTCTGGTTCCCCAACCGATGTAGATTCGTACTAAGTGATAAATGTATTTAATTTTCTATAGTTGGTTTGTAAGGATTAGGTTTGTTTTTACGAGTTGATCACAGATTGATATCAGTTAGAGAACCGTTGAAAACCAGCACCGGAAGACTGGACAGCTGTGTCATCAGCCTAGTCTTGGAATCATTGGCAGTACTCACCCACCACAGAAGGGTTCGAACCCTGGACCTTCCGTTTACAAGGTAAACTAGCTTGTACACCATTCAGCCACCACGAGGACCCGGCTCAACGGCCAGCCAGCCCATGAATTCTAACTTCTACCAATTCGTGATTTAGTGCGACCCCCTACCAATACCATCGGTGGGACTGTTAGGACCTCACTGGTCACGACTTCTCACTAGACTGGTATAGGAGCTTGCCTTTTAACTGGAAGGTACTGAGTTCGAACCCTTCTGTGGTGGGTGTGTACTGACGATGAGTCCCAAACTAGAATGAAACAGCTGTCCAATCCTCCGGTGCTGGTTTTCAATGGTTCTTTAACTGATATCAATCCGTGATCAACTCGTAAAAATATGTATTTAACTCTTTCTCAAACCTACTGGCCGCGCCAGTATCAAGAAGGAATTAATAACAACTGTCTTTATTTATAAATCTTTATATTCCCACTCGACATTCTATTCCAACCACACGAATAATTATTAAGCTGGGGTTTATAGTAAATAGTTTGACAGATAAATCTTTCAAATAGTGGATAAATCATCCCTAATCCTTCCCCAACCCCCACACCCCAGTGCGCCCTGGATATTTTGATCATTCCAGGATAAACAATTACTTATTCCCATTATCCTTTTAATGGATAAAACACCCTAACATTGATAAGAATACAAAAGTTTCGACAAAACAAAAACAAACTTTTAATGAATCTCTTAATTAGGTTATTAAATTGATTGAATGAATTATAAACGCACATGCACACACGCACACACACGCCCACACCCACGCACCCACGAGCACAAACAGGCTGTGAAATGAAACCACGTACATATTTCAGTTTCGATTGTCATTTATTCATTAGAGCGTTTTTACTTTAAGAAGCTGATTATTATTAAGAAAGGAAGACAGTTAGTTGAACAGTAGTCATATAGAGTGGTGCACCTGTTTATTCATTTATTTATTTATCGGATAACCATTTATAAATGAAGGGAAGCGTGTACGTACACACGCACATAGAGATCTAGTGTGTAGCCCTTTATCCTTTTTAATGATATGCAAATAAACGACATAGGGGAACAAAGTGTATAGGGAACAGGTATTGCATATAATTTGATTGGTTCGCGTGTAGAATAGGATCACATGAAATGATGATTATTTCCACTTTGTGTGTGTGTGTGTGTGTGAATTAAGGTTTACAAATATATATGGTGTATATTAATAATATTGATAATTTTTAGCAGAGAATAAATTCACTACTTAGTTTACCCCTTAATTGCATATCCAGAAATACCTTAGTATAAATCTTGAACAACACAACTTGTCTTAATAGGGATTCTTTAATGATAATGATTGACTTGGAATGAAGTGATATAGATTATTATTATTATTTGATCTGTTGTCTATGTTGGCCTTTCGATTGGCATACTGACATTGATGTATAGCTTGATAATATAATGGTGTGAAAAAGGGAAATCCATTCAGTCATTTGGATTTATTGCCTGTTCGATATTGTTTATTCCTGTCTATCTCATGTGTTAGGTGATATGGTAAAGCGAGTAATATTGAGGTTAGGCGTAGGGAGGTGTTAGGTAGGTATGTAGGAAAAGTGGCATGCTTAGCCACCGCCTTCTTCGACGGGTAATTTTAGTGGTGGTTAAACCAAAACATGGCTTCATCAGTCAATGAAATCCACATAGGGAAATGTAGACTACTTGGCTGGTTGGGGTCCTCGGGATGGTAAGAACCAATATAGGCTGGAGACAGCTGATGATATGGTTCAAAGTGATCGTTCTCAATGGTGTAGATGCATTCACTACTAGATCTATTCAACTCTCTTGTTTTTCCATGATACTATTCTGTCTCCCTCACATTTTCGCTTATTATTGTACCTCAAAATCTCTTTGGTTTTCTTTTGTGTTCTACTTGGAGTGTGACAACTCGAACTGTTTGCACTTCTTCTTTGCACAGTTTTATGTTGGAACCAGTCAGTCAGGATATGTTTACTGAGGTATGAAGCTATCAAACACTTCTTATGCATACTTGCCTTTCCACTTGATTTGCCTTTTGGTTCGTGTTATCGAAATATGCAATGATAAGTAGCAAATCTATGTTGTCATTTTTGAACATGTAGACAGTGAAAAATCTGCCACTATTGGACATTGTTTACTTATAAATGTAGTGGCAATGACAAGGGTATCATAGACAAATGTGAGATGAATAAAGAGAGTCTTTCAAGCATGCTTCGGTGTTAGGCAAGTTGAATGGTGAGCATCGGTGTAACAGCAGTTGTGATATCGCCCTATAGATGTCTGAGACAAGCAGATACTCCGTTAAAGTTTCTGGCATCCCTGATCATCGTGAATTTATAAAGAACAGTGATAATGGATACCAGTCAGACCGATTGTGCTGGGAATGCTAGGAAATAGTGAGTAGTGCTTAAAATCTGCACGTAGTCTAACTAACTAACTAACTAACTAACTAACTAACTAACTAACTAACTAACTAACTAACTAACTAACTAACTAACTAACTAACTAACTAACTAACTAACTAACTAACTAACTAACTAACTAACTAACTAACTAACTAACTAACTAACTAACTAACTAACTAACTAACTAACTAACTAACTAACTAACTAACTAACTAACTAACTAACTAACTAACTAACTAACTAACTAACTAACTAACTAACTAACTAACTAACTAACTAACTAACTAACTAACTAACTAACTAACTAACTAACTAACTAACTAACTAACTAACTAACTAACTAACTAACTAACTAACTAACTAACTAACTAACTAACTAACTAACTAACTAACTAACTAACTAAATAAATAAATAAATAAATAAATAAATAATCAGTTTTGTAGAGAAAGGGCTTCATTCTACAGAGGAATTTCCATCTTGAGGGGAAGACGTCTTCAGTTACAAGCAGACATTCAACTTCTCTGGCAGAAACCATTCGACTATCTGATTTCATTCATCTTATTCTACACTTAATTGTCTCAATCGAGGAATGAGGGAAACAGATATCCAATACATTAAAGACTTTCACCCACCTACTATAATTCATCAATCGTTGTGTAACTCCCCCTCTCCCCTACACACAGACACACTAGAACCGATAACTGCAATACTTTCGCTTAGAGATATAGCGGTTATGAAAAAAGGATCTTCATGAAATGTCTGCATTTACTTGTTATTCAGTTGACCACTTCCAAAGCTTCATTAGAACAGCTGTGAAACAATTCTTACAATGATGTTTCATTAACACTATACAACTGATAATCAGTTGGAGGATTTCATCATGAGCTGACATCAGTTAAAGAACCATTGGAAAACCTGCAGGGAGTACTGGACAGTTGCTTCGTTCTAGTTTGGGAATCTTCACCAGTACGTACCCACCACCAGGGGTTTGAACCCAGGACCTTCCGGTTACAAGACGAGCTGGTAAACCGTTGAGCGACTGGGACCCGATCCAATGGCCAGTCCATGAATTCTAACTTCTGCGAATTCACGACGTAATGTGACCACTTTGCAATGTCTTTTTCGGTCACGGCTTCCCACTAGAACCCCAACACATGATGAAATCCTCCAAACAATCAAACAAAATCCCTACAAAACCAATACTTGACAACTGATAATCCTTTCATTTTTAAAATGGGGTCAGAAATAATTAGAGATGTGTTCGCATATTCATTAAACATAAATTTTTCAACAACTACAGAATCATTTGTTTGATCTAACAGTTGTTCCCCTGAACTACACTTTTTTTAAGCACAGTCATGACATATATAATGCATTACAGTTTGTTCTGTTCACGCATAACACCATGAAAAAGACGACTGAGATGGTTGGGGTGTGTGTGTGTGTGGGGAGGGGAATTTAAGACAATTACTTTCCTTGTAAGAATTTATTTAGCCTAATTAATACAATACAATACTGGTAGGTATATTGCCCATTTTAAGTATACTAGGGAAATGATGTGATTGACACATTCACTATCAGCGGTTCGAATACATGTGTGTGTGTGTGAATAGTTTATCACGTGTAGTTATTTAAGAACATGTTCATGTATGTATGTAGTATGCTGGCATAGACAAGGTGTGAAGAAAAAGTCCAATCAAGGTAAAAAAAAAAGAGTAATACAAACAGATGGAGTATGGAGAAGTATGCTAAAACACTTTAATATCTCTGTTGATGTGATTCATTACACTGACTAACTAATAAGCACGATTAAACTAATTAGTAATTTACTTGGTATTTATGGTTGTTTAGTTAATTGACGTTGTGGTACAATCTAATCCCCCTAAGTACACTTATTATCAATAACAGGAAATGTATTAAATGTTTTTGCAATATGAAGAAATGATAATAATGATAAAAAACTTTGTGAAAGTTGATTTCCTCTCTTGTGCTTCCATCTATTTACCTCCAAAGCGGAATCGACTTCGTAGACCTCAACACATATTTTAGTAACTGTTGCAGCTTAGGTCTCCTTTTCCTCCTCAACTGCCCCTCTAAAATGTCAAGACTATTTTGTACAGTTTGTCAGATTTCCGTCATGAACCAACATCGGTTAGAGAGATCACTAGGGAGGTACTGGACAGCTGTTTTACCCTGTTTGGGACTCTTCTGAGGTAAGCACTCATGATGCCGTCCGGGACTTCTAGGTTATGAGGTCAACTATTCGCCAACTATTCTTCTATTTCAGCTGAAATCCAGTGACCCTGGAATTCTGAATTTGTTAACTCGTGATATAGTGCTACCTTCATCAATAACTTAGATGAGCATCCATTTCGCCTTGACATGGCAGACGCCATTAGTGGACGCCACTTCCCATTTCTTCTCATTTTTCAATATCGTATGTCCCCTCAAAAAGACTGAGAAACAATTTTTCCGTCAGTGGCTCAGTGGTAGACTTCCAGAACGACTCAGCCCTTAACTTTGGCTATTTTACTAGGCAATATTAACCTGGGGAAAAGGGATGGTTGGGTGTGGAACCACTAACATCACCCCCACAAAAGCACAGCCGCCATCAGCACCACCACTAAAACCTCAATCCATGAAGCCTTATGTTCCAGTCAGAAGATATAGGTATAAAAAGAGAGGAACGAAACAGTTTAATGGTTTAATAATGTGTACTAAGACTTTGTTCTGCATTGATTTCCTTATCGATTTACCCAACAGCATAACATTCACAATGTTTAAATTATAACACAACTAAAAAACTATCTCTGTTTTTCTGTTTCTTTTTCATTTTAGTCGCTGAAAACCGAACTTCTTCCTTACGTTGCACCGAAAGTGTTGTAATCCCACTGGCTGGACACTGATGCGTTCTTCATGATTGGTTGCCAGAGTAACAGAACTACATTTAAACAAAATTTCGGCGCGAAAATTTGAAGCGTGCTTTACAAATTAAGAAAATGATGATTATTCACTTTCATATCTGGGAATAACTGCACATATTATCTGAACCTTGTTTTTACTGTCAATGAAAATATTTTATTTAATATCTGCCTTCCTCTTTTGTACAGAATTTCATTCCGGATGAACATTTTTCAAACGAATAACGATAACACAATTTTATATTATTCATAAAATCAATAATAATAATTAATATGATACCAGTAATATGCATATACATATACATATTTATAAATACTAATTCATTTTCTCTTTTATCCAACCCACTTTTGGCCAGTTCACAAAATTATATTTGTGAAACAAAGTCTCGCAAAGTTTGATTCTGAGGGACTTTCGTGGTCTTTGGAGTTCACCATCAGCGTTAATGGATAATAACTAGGGGGGGGGGGTGAAGATTGGTAAGTATTGGCGAGGCTTGCGTAATAGGAAATAGGATGTTAGTGGGAAGACGAGTCCTAAAAATAAGTTATGTAATAGGTAGAAAGAGTAAATAAAGGGTTGGTTACGAAGAAGATATTACTAAGATGCCATACAAAAATTCAAAAAACAAAAAAGAAAAACAAAACATTATTACGAAAGTCGTAGAACTTGGAATTACACCACCCAAGGTAGAAGAAGGGGGTGGAGAAGTTTGTGAATAAATCAGGGTTTTCTATCCGGATCGCTAAGGCCTCCTCGACAGTGCTAAGTATACAGAAGCTTACCTACCGTTTTCGGGAGGCTTCTTTTGACTTTGTAGATGACTTTGAATGAATCCACCTTACATATTGAGTGACCAGTTTTGAATATATGTTCAATTATTTCACTCCTTATAGATCAAATATAACCTTTTCATAGCCAGCGGGATAATGTTCTCTGACTCTTTTAGATAAAACACGCATCGAACGACCTATTTATCTCGCTGGCTCTACATGAGCAAGTTAATTGGTAGATACACATAGAAGTGGTCAAATGCGATAGTTTATCTTTGGAGTTGTTGAAGAACAATGAGTGGCTTGAGAATACCAATCGTAATGTAGCAGCAGAGAATGTTCTTTTTAGGGCGTTAGATATTCTTCTTTTTAGGATGTCGGCCAGAAAGTCGCTTTTGAATGCCACATTCATGTACAGCATCTTCTTCAGCAAAGAAATGGGTTGTTCTTTGTTTATTTAAATGTTCAGCTTTATATGTTTATCTATAAAGCGTGGTGGATAGCTGTTCTCAAGTAATGTCTTACTCAAAAGAGTGATCTCCTTTTCTACCGATTCGGAGCTGCATATTCTACAGATTCTGGTCACAAGAAATATTATCAGGTTCCATTTGAGCTTGGTGGGTACCCAACTGTATAAGTTTGTCAGCTGGCCGTTCCATAGGGGCTTCTGGATTATGGAACAGAATCTGTCGAAGGGCGAATATATGATCAATGTACCCTATTTCTGGTCTAAAACCTGCTTGGTTCTGTCGTGTTTGCTCCTCCCGTGGACCGCCTGGTGTATTCTTTAGAACTTTAGATTTCATATTAATCAAAGTAGTCCCCCTGTGATTATCACAAGAAGACTTGTCTCCCTTCTTGTATATCGGGAAAATCAATGACTTACACCAACCTGACGGGACTTCCTCTGATTCTTAAACGCTGCCTAGTACCTTAGTTAACGCAGACAGTAGACTGTCTCCACCGTACTTAAATACTTCTGGAGTCATTCCACCAGGTCCTGCTGCTTTGCCTCGTTTCAGACTAGTGACAGCTTTAGTAACCTCAGTTAGGGATGGAGGACCTGTGTTTATATCCCATTCAGGGAGGTGTTCGGTAATCTGAGTGTGGTTGCAGGCCAATTAAACTGCTCCTCAAAGTGTTCTTTCCAGCCTTACAGTCGTCTATCCTGGGAGCTAATTATGGTTCCATTTTTCTCAGAGACTGTTCGGATTCGATGAGATCAAGAATTGGAGAATACAATTAAGCAGTAACTGTTACTTGTCATTAAATGAAATACTATCGTGTAATTATTGACTGAATGAATGGCGGTTTTTGTTAATTCGGCTAGACTAGTGTACAGACACCTTAAGATTCTATCCACTTCGGACTTTATTCATTTGAAAAAAGTACAATGGAAAACTTGTAGAACTTGTTGTTGGAGAAATACGAAAAATGACAAACTTATTTTACTTACTATCACATAGATCTTAAAAATTCGGAACTTTTGCCTGCTCTCCTCCACTCCACCATCCTCAGCTAACTTAGTCCGTACCCCCCCACACACGCACGTACACATAGACACATGGGTGATATAGTCGTAAAGTACAGACTTTTATTATAAACAACCTAGATAGTTTACTTTTTTCTAAAATAATCTAAACTGTCATAATTAATGAAAAGTAGGACTAAATATTATCACAGGAATACCCAGTGCATTCTGATCCAGTTTATATAAATCTGCATACAGATGACACTCTCGATTCAAGTCCGCCTACCTTTTTTCTTAATCTTTTGACACTATGCATCACACACTCGATACTCCATTTTTAATAAGGCTGTATAAACGCACATTTTAACCAAAATTGAAAAGTTCTATTAAAATGAGAAAAAAACCAGAGAGAGAGTGTGTGTGGCAGAGGATCAATTCCAGGGTATTAGAAAATAAATTTTCATAAAATTTTTGTTTTTACAATACAAACAAAGTTGGTAGATAGGTTAAACGGCTCCCTACCCTCACCTTCATTTATGCTTTGATATACACTTTCAGTTATAACAACAAAGCTTAATAGTCTGTTCAAGAGTTTCTCTTATTTTGAAAAAAAAAATACAAACAAACAGAAGCCTATTTATACAATATAAAATAAACTTTGGTACATAAAAGTGCAACTATTGAATATAGAATACTAAGCGAATATGAATCAATTCGATCGATGTATACCTCTTCTCCAAATGATGTTGGTTGATGAATCATTTAGGATCAACAAATAACAAAAACAAGCGGCTTCTCAAAAGTGTCAGCCAAAATCACCATAGGCGATCAGATCTAGAACCTTCAGAATATCAGTCGAGAAAGAATTCATTACAGCCATTGTGATGAAATGTAGTGTGACCTGTGAATTTTAACTCTTGTCAAACTGCTTTACAACTCCACTTTCAAGCAATTCTTCTGATAGGTATCCGCCTTACAATGCAAGTGGTGTGGACTTTAGAAAAATCACCCAGAAAGCAATTACTAATAATGAGAAGATTAATATTCAAATTTTATCGAATCCGAACAATGGGCGTTTGTCAACGTCTATCTATCTATCTATCTATCTATCTATCTATCTATCTATCTATCTATCTATCTATCTATCTATCTATCTATCTATCTATCTATCTATCTATCTATCTATCTATCTATCTATCTATCTATCTATCTATCTATCTATCTATCTATCTATCTATCTATCTATCTATCTATCTATCTATCTATCTATCTATCTATCTATCTATCTATCTATCTATCTATCTATCTATCTATCTATCTATCTATCTATCTATCTATCTATCTATCTATCTATCTATCTATCTATCTATCTATCTATCTATCTATCTATCTATCTATCTATCTATCTATCTATCTATCTATCTATCTATCTATCTATCTATCTATCTATCTATCTATCTATCTATCTATCTATCTATCTATCTATCTATCTATCTATCTATCTATCTATCTATCTATCTATCTATCTATCTATCTATCTATCTATCTATCTATCTATCTATCTATCTATCTATCTATCTATCTATCTATCTATCTATCTATCTATCTATCTATCTATCTATCTATCTATCTATCTATCTATCTATCTATCTATCTATCTATCTATCTATCTATCTATCTATCTATCTATTTATCTATCTATCTATCTATCTATCTATCTATCTATCTATCTATCTATCTATCTATTTATCTATCTATCTATCTATCTATCTATCTATCTATCTATCTATCTATCTATCTATCTATCTATCTATCTATCTATCTATCTATCTATCTATCTATCTATCTATCTATCTATCTATCTATCTATCTATCTATCTATCTATCTATCTATCTATCTATCTATCTATCTATCTATCTATCTATCTATCTATCTATCTATCTATCTATCTATCTATCTATCTATCTATCTATCTATCTATCTATCTATCTATCTATCTATCTATCTATCTATCTATCTATCTATCTATCTATTTATCTATCTATCTATCTATCTATCTATCTATCTATCTATCTATCTATCTATCTATCTATCTATCTATCTATCTATCTATCTATCTATCTAATCCAACACTGATTATTTGCATTATTCTTCAAGTGAATGACTTACAGAGGCCACCTGTTATGCAACGAGTAATGTCTATTGTTTCGGCTTCGCAAATACGTGGTATCGGTTCCAGAGGAGATATTTTTTGTTTAATCTTGATGGGAAATGAGGCTTCTTGAACACTTTCCTCCATATTCTAATAAGTTTCATTGGGGTTATTTTTCTTACAACGGTCTATAATACTATAATACTTGGTATACTTTTGAAAGATTTCCTTGACGAATACAAGTTGACTGGTCTAAGTTCGATTAATGTCGATGCAAATCATCTGTCGCATTCGTACTGGTGCCGATCCCTAGACAACAATTAAAATGCCTTTCTGGTTGTATAATACTCCTTGGTTAGGATTCAGTGCTTCTCTAACTGATGCCGGTTTGTGATCAAACCTGAAATCATTTAAATTTCTACTGTGCATCGGTGGCACAGTGGTAGAATGCTCGCCGACCACTTATGCTATCTGGGGTTCGATCCCCGGCCGAGGCACTCCTTCACCTCGCTAAGCCAGCAATAAGACGGGTAAAGATGGAAGGTTGGTATGAGGCTAGCAACCCAATCCCGTAAAAATAGACACCACTGCTACAGAAACTTCAAGTCTCTAACTTGAAGGCACCGTATGTTCCACTGGGAACGTAAAGGAATTTATAAAAAATGAAATACATGAAGTTTTTAAGTAGCCATTAATTCCTTTAACCCAATCTAATATTTGAGGTGAAGAGCAACTTGGCAGAGATAACACACTTTCTCCTTTCCTGAAGTGCCGTAGCACTGGACATCCAGAAAAGGAAACCGGAACTCTGCATACCAAAAAAAATTCAAGTTTAGTCATTGAATGACTCCACTTAGGGAG